CTACAAAGGAAAACCTTCTTTTATTTTTTATAGCATTTAAATAATTCCCAATACTCTAAACTTGACATAAAAACTCAAAATCGTTCTCAAATTTCAAATACTATTAATAAAATGCAAAGAACCCGCTTATCAATTTATTATTTAGTCCTTCTTTTTTATATAGTATTGAACAAAGTACACTTTTTAAGCTTTTAAAAAACCAAATTTTATGTTTCAAATCCATACTAACTAACTTTGGATAAGAAATTATTTTTAAATAGAAATTTTGATAAGGACCATCATTTTAAATAAATTTAGGATAAAAAGCATAATACAAATCTATAAAATGTAAAATATTTTTCAATAAAACAGAATGTTTTTGATATTAAAATCTCTCTTTCTATTCTTCACTTTCTTTCCCGATAATTATGATATATTTATTTTAATTTTTAACACCTTTTTTGTATATGAAATCATTGGTTTTTTCACTATTTAATTATGTGCTTTTTTTCAATTTTAATAATTCTTTTCCAAAATAGCTTTCTAAGATAAAGATTAAATTATTCGATTAAGAATAAAGGATAAACTAATTAATTTCAAAAGCTAAAAACTATACGTTTATCATCAAAGCGATTCCCAGTTTTAAAATTACATTTAAAAAACGCCATTATTAATTCCCCATTTATTATTACAAATTATCAAATATAAGATAATAAATATTTTTAATGAAAAAAGCGCTCTAATCTTTGAATAACTTAATAAATTCAATTATTGTTTTTAAACAATATTTTATTTTATTTTCATTTCTTTATTAAAATATTTATATCGAAATTTCTTCAATATAAATATCAACATTAAATTAATAAAAAATACCTTCTTTTATATTTTAAAGTAAATATTTTATTATCTTATAGTTCTTTTTTTCATCCTTATTTCCATATATTAACTCTCTAATATTATTTTCAATCATTATTTTAACCTTTTCACTATAAGTACTTGGAGAAGAAATAGATATAGGTAAAATAGAAATAAAAATAAAAATATGTTTTTATTTAAATTCTTTATTTGTTATATTCTCATACAAAATTTTCTCAATATCATCTTGGTAATTTTAGAATAAAAATGGGTATTTCTTATACAAATTCAACATATTTAATAAAAAATTAAAATCAGGGTATTAAAAACATCTTTAAAACCATTATTTTAAAATAGGAATGTCATCCTATATTCTTGAGTTCATATTATATTATGCCTTATTATATATTTTTTTTATTAAAAATAAATATAAAGATGCAAATATTAGTCCTATATTGTCTTCTTATTATATTTTAGTTGATAATACATGTATAAGTTAACTAAGTTGCTAATTTGTGATGTTTTTATAAGCTTTTTAATGAATTAATTTTTATAATTCGTTTATTAAATTTAATTAGGTTTCTTTTGGAATTTCTTTTTATAAAAATATGTTAAAGTTATTATTATTAAATAGTTATAATTCAGTATTTTTTTTCATTTTTTTTTTCGGAATATAACATATATATTTTTATTTTATTTTTAGGGAAAAAAAAATAAGGTATAAAATTAAAATATTTTTTATACCAAATTTAATAATTAATACTTAATATATAAATAAATATTTACATAAATATAATTTTTATTCTTATATTTTATTAATAAAATATTAATTTCACATTTTCTTTTATATATAATATTCACAATTAATTTTTTTTTATATAAGTATAACCTAAAAAAGCTTTTTTTTTAAATATAAATACAAAAAAATTATTTATATTTTTTTTTTACATACTCAAATTTTATGTAGATTTTCTTTTTTAAACAATTTTATAGTTGAAAACTAATTTTTTATTAATTATTTTAAATTTATTTTAATTATATTTATTATAAATTTCTTAAAAATGTTATTATTTTTATTTATAATTTATTTTATTATTTTCCATTTTTATATCCTTTACTATTATTTATGGCGGTTAATCTATACTTTCATCAAAATTTACAAAGGAAGTAGAATTTTAGAAAAACTCATTTTCTGGTTTTTCTTACTCGAATATAACTAAATCATCATATTCGCTTATTTGCGAAATTTAGTTTAAATTGTAATTATTTAAACAATTTTAAACAACATTTTCTATACTTTCATATAAGTTTAATTTTTCATCTTCTCCTTCTTTATTTACTACTTCATCTGATTATTAAAAGCTTAAAGATATTTTTACATAGTTATCACTACTCTCTGTATTTATTATTACTTCATCATTTACTGTTTTATTTTATTGGTATATTTCAACATTAATTTAAATATTATTTGTTAATTAATCAAAAATTTCTTAATAATCGTCATCTTAAACGATATTTTTCTTATCTTTTTATCTTATTTATTCTATTTTTTTTATACTTTTATTCAATTATTTATTAGCCTTTTTAAGCTTTTTTGATAGTTCTTATAAGTCTTTTAATATATTTTACTTTAATTCTTATATTAAATCCGATATTTTATATGCTTTATTAAATATTTTTTACTTTTAAGGAGAAATAAGTTTTATATATATATATTTATATATATATATATATATTTTTTTTCATATTTAATATTTTTTTATTTTTACTATTTAAATTGCTTTAAAAAGTAGAGTTTAATGTTGAATTCTAATCAATTTTTGATGAAGATTTTTAATCATTTTTTAATTTAAATTCAAAATTGTCATTCATTCTTTAGTTATTTTTCAATTATATTATTCAAAATAAATAAAAAAATATACAAAACGTTTATTTTAATTATTTATATTAAAACCTAAAAAACAAAACAAAAAATATAAATATTTATAATTTATTTCTTCTTATTTTTTATAATATATATTTTTTTATTATTTTTTTTTAAAAAAAAATTCTTTTTACAAAAAAAATTATTTTATTATTTTCTAACAAAATAAATAAAATTTGAATGGAAAAATTTATAATGAATTATTATATAAATAATATTTATGAATATATATAATTATTAAGAAAGAATAAGGCTTTTCTTAAAATATTTATAATTAAAATTTAAATATTAATTATATAATAAAAGTTGGTTAGATATAAAATATGATTTAAATGTTTAAAATTATAAATATTTTCTCTATTAAATTATTATTATTTTTATAAACTAAATAAATTCTTTTACATTTAATCTATATGTTATTCTATTGTATTTTTATAAAAGCTTCTCTAATATAAATTATAGAAATTACAGATATTATTTATTTAAAATAAAATAAAATAAAGACATTGAATTATAAAAAAAATGTTTTTTTTATCAAAATTTATAATAATTAATTTTATTTATTATTTTTATAAATAAAATTAATATAAATATTAGAAAAAACTAATAAAATATAAATTTTAAAGTAACTTTATTAAATAAACAAATTATTTATTATTTTATTTTAAAACTTCATTTTAAATCATAATATATGAAAACTATTTGGATTTAATATATACTAATATTAATTATTAATATTAGTATGAATATATTTAGACAATTAACTTCTCAACGCATTATATAATTTTAATTTATATTGTTAATTTTATTATGATTATTATTTTAAATATATATATATTACATTTCTTTTTGATAATTTATAGGCTGTTAATAAATTTTAAATATATATTTTTTTTTAGAATTATGTTAATTAAACCTTCCTTTGTAGTTTTTAATAAATAATTAATTGTAATAAGAATTAAAATCTTATATATTTATAAGGTTATAATAATTTTTAAGACTATAATTATTTTTTTTAATGAAAATTATTTTAATTTATTAATAAAAACTGAAAAATAATGAATCTTATGTAAAATTGAAATTCATTAAATCAAGACTCTTAACCTTATATAGTTTTTTATTTGATAAATTTTAATTATCTAATTATTTGTTTTAATAAAAACACTCGTTTTTTTTTAATATATATTTTTTTTTTTTTTTTTCGAAAGAAATATTATAGTTCTTGCTTTGTTTCTCTTTCAATATTTATTATTTATTTAGCGCTTTCGATAACTTTATAGATTAATTTGTATTTATATATTATATCAGTGACTCATTTTATCTTTTTAATTTTATAAGTAGAATTTATTATTTATGTTTAATTTTGAATTTTTTATGAAAATTTTGGAAGTAATATATAATTTCTTCTTATTTTAATATGTTTCGGTATATTTTATAAAAAAAATTACAAAATTATGTATTCAATTCTTTATTATTAATATATTATAAGATATTACTTTATTTTATATATATAAATTTTAATGAATGATTTTTAGAAATATATTTAATAAATGTAGTATATTTTTCTAGTATTCACATTTATTTAATAAAAAATATGTTATTAAAATTAATTGTTTTAATCAAATTATATAGTTTATTTAGTTAAATTATTTTAAAATTATATCTTCTTTTATTTTAAATAAAAAATTATTATAATAATTAAATGTGTTTAGAATTTAACATATTTTATAAACTTATTAAACTGCATTTTTATTTTTTAATTTAATTGTAATTAAAATTATATGAATTTTTATATTAAAATATTTATATTAAATTCAAATAATTATTTTAATAAACTTTAAAATAATATATGTAAAAATTGGAGAGAAAAATATGAGAAATATCCTTTTTTTTATTTAATATATAATTTTTTAAAAGAATTAAAGTAAGAATAAGAAATGTAAACTAATTATATATAAAAACATATTAATAAAAAAAAAAAAATAATAATAAAATATGGATTTTAGCCTTTATATTTTATTATACTATAAAGGAAAAGAAACAAACTAAAATTAATAATAATTGAAAAGATTAAAAACTAAACTTATTTTAAAATTTAGATAAAATAATTTTTTTTATTGTTAATAAAATTATCGTTTTTTAAATTAATTTTACATTTAATTAAATAAATTATTAAATATATTTATTTTTATAGTCAAAATTTAAAATTAACAAAAAATTTAATAAATAAAATTTATAAAAAATGGATAATATTAAAATAGTTCATAATCCCATAAAAACCTAAATTAGATATTTAGTTTTAATATTTTCCTCATTAACAATTGTAAATAAAAATAAATATTTATAATTTAAAAAAAAAAAAAAATGCTAAAATAATAGTATTTAATATCAACTATTTTTTAATTTAAATAAATAAAAGTTTGCTGATTATTATATTATGGATATTCCAGCATTAATAAAATCACAAATAGAGGAAGTTTTTTCACCTATATATGGCAAAGAAGAAACATAAATATATTATAGCTTTCTATATTCTGTGTATTCAATTCCAAATATAATTTTACCTTTATTTGGAGGAATATTATGTGATTAATTAGGTTTTTATATTTATTTTCAATTAATAATAAATTTTATAATAAAGGATACCGAAAAATGACTCTAGTATTTTTATTTTTTATAACTTTGGGATAAATATTTATTACATATGGAGTTATAAAAAAAAGTATATTTATAATGATTTTTGGTAGATTTATATTTGGAATAGGAGGTGAATCATTAAATATATCAATTAATTCATTAATAGTTAATTGGTTTTAAGGAAGTGAATTATCTTTTGCCCAAGTATAAGCAATTATAAAAAATAAATTAATTTTATTTTATTTTAATAAAAGGCTTTGAATTTAAGTTTTATAAGATCTGCAAGTGTTTTAAATACTTTTATGACTCCTAGAATAGCAGAAGTAATATTTTTTGTGCTTACTTTTATACATATGTATTCTTTTAATAATAAAGTACAAATCAATGGATTAGTGTTTCATATTTGGAATTTTTATTTGCTTTCTTAGCTTTTTTAGCTCCATTTTACTCGTTTATATTGATTATAACTTAAATCGAAATAATTTCGAAGAATAAAAAGAAAAAAAAAAATACAACTAAGATTTAAGCATATGGGAAAATATTTTTTTATTTAGTAAAAAATTTTAAAGGACTTGCAAAAAATTTAATTTAGTAAATATATTAATTAATATTATATATTAAAAAAAAACGAAAAAAAAAAGCTTTTTTGGGCTTTATCAATATTAACAGTATTTTTATATGTTGAAGTTATTACATTTAATACATTTTCCAGTTCCATTTTAATAGAACTATGGTTTTTTTATTAAAATAAAATATTATCAAAAAATAAAAAAGGTTACCATAAGATAATACTTTAGAAAAAAATTAAGAACTAGCAGGAGAAATGATGAGTATTCCTTATTTGATGGCTTCTTTTTTATTCCCTTTATTTGGGTTTATTTGTGATAAATATGGACAGAGAATAAATTTACTAATAGTAGCATCTTTACTTTGTTTAACATCTTTTATAATTTTCCCTATTTTATATCCGGTTATAAGTTTATCAATATTAGGATTGTCTTATGCTATGTTTGGAGCGGTAATATGGCCTACTATATCATATATAATTCCTTAAAAAAGATTAGTATTTAAGAAAAAAAAAAATATATATATATAATTTTAATAAATAAAAAAGGGAATTGGCTACGGAGTAATGAATTCTATTTAAAACTTTGGAACTGGAATTATGCCTCTAGTAATTGCATTTATTGAAATAAACGGAAACAGTATGAGTGTGATTTTTACTTTTATATCTATTTCAATTATTAGTGTTTATTTGTCAATTGTAGTTTAAAGAATTGATTCTAGATAAAAGATTAGTTTAAATGAAAATGATTAAAATAAATTAATGCTTAATTATGAAGAGCTTAATTATAAGAAACCAATTAGAGAAGACAATAAATACTATTTTAATAATTAAAATAATAATTAAGATGATTAAAATATAATTTGATTTTTTTTTTTATTTGAAAAAAAAAAAAAAACAAACAAACAAACAATAATTCTTTATCTATATAAATAATTTTATTTTATAAAAATATTATTTAATATTATCATTTAATAAAAAATCTATTTATAATAATATAATTTCAACTATATTAAAATTTATCTTTTAAAATTTACTAAGCTTTAATAAAAATATCAAACTCTTCATTTTGTACTTCGTTTTATTTTTTCTTGTCAACAATACCGCAATTTCTATTAAAAAAAAAAAAATATAATAAAAGTTAGAAAAATATTACTACAAGCTGACTTCTAAATAAATCTACTCATCTAAAAAATTAAAAATAGTTTCTACAACTGAATAAGCACCATAATAACCAATTTTATTAAAATCTAAAATAAGTTTAAAATAAATTATTTTTTTAAAATGAAATTAATGTTTTGTAGCTAATCTTTTACATTTTTGTTCTATATTAGATGCTCCTTCGCTACTAATAAGATTTTAACTTAAATTTAATTCAATATTTTACAAATTAATATGGCTCTGAAGGCTTTCAAAAATTTAGGCTGTACCCAAATCACCAACTGAATTATTTGTTAAATCCAATATTAAAGTATTAAGTTATTTTAAATGAGAAATACTTATCGATAACTATTAAGTTTCTAAGCAATTTAAGCAGTTATCCCTTTTTAAGTAAAATATAAATAATATATATAAATATTATATAGTTTTACTTTAATTATAATTATAAATATTATAGATTTTCTAATTTCAATATTGATTAAAAAAAAAATTCAAAGCCAGATTATTTTCTTTAAGTACTAAGAGTTTAATTTTCATTTATAAATTCAGTATAAAAATCTATTAATGTTTTATTTTTAATATTTGCTTCATCTTCATATGTATATTGTTAGTCTTGGTGATTTTACTTTGTTAAATAAAATTTTATAAGTATGTCTTTTTCTTCACTAGTAATTTAATTTTAAAAAAATTATTTTAAACCAGCTATATTAACTTTAAATAATTTTTTTGTTATTTATTATAGAGCTCCTTAATTATGAGATATTAAATTATCTAAATACATTCTATAATCTCCCGCTTATTTGCATTATTATTAACGCTTTAAACTAAAGGCTTTTTTTGTTTGATTTAATATTATTGTTAACTTTTTTATCTAAATATTAAAAAGGATATTCTTTGATATCATTTTTATGCCAGTCTTTTGAATATAATTATCTCTTATTTTATATTTGAATATAAATAAGTAAAAAATAAAATAAAAATAGTTATTTAACTGAAAATCATAAGTTATTTCTTCTATATTTTGATTAAATTAAAAAGATTTTGTTATAAAATAAACTCCATTAGAATCAAGTTAATTATTTCTTTTTTTTATATAGTTATAAAAATATATAAAAAATTGTTTTATTATATACGATAAGTCTATATTATATTCTTTTAAATTAATAAGCTTTTCAATACTTTTACTAATATTAAAAGACCCGTAATTTTTATAAATTTATTATTTTGTTTAATCTTCATCTTTATTCATGTCAATAACTAATTGCTAAGGAGGATCAATTTAATTATTTCTTAATTTTTATAATTTAATAAAAATAATATAAATATACTTTAAATATAATTATAATGAATTCAATAAAACTAATTAAGAAATGTTTTCAAAAAAAAACATACACGAATGATTATTAAGTTCTATATCTTCCAAATTTAGGCTTAACCTTTGTAAATATTTTAAATTTTTTAAGCTTTTAGAAATACTAAATAACTCATTTTATTAAATAAATTTATTATGACTTTTTTATATATTATAAAAATCATTATATTAGATAAATAAATTTATTAAATATTTTTACCTTAAAACTAAATTTAAATATTCTAAATCTTACATTTGAATTATTTTATTTGATAAAAATTTTGATCCTTATGTTGCAATCATATTATTATTTAAATTTAACTTTAGTATTTATACATGATTAGGTAAGTTTTCTAGAATTTCAGCCAGTCCCAAATTTTAAATTAAGTTATCTCTTTTATATGTTTATTTATAAAATATACTAAGTAAAATAAAATAAAAAAAAAAACGGAATTTATATATCAAATTCATTCAAAGAAGAATATTTTTTTATTAATTTTGATAATCCTTTTGACCCAATTAAATTCAAAGGTTTTCGATTTCTATTTATAGAAAAAATAAAATAAAAATATTATTTGCTATTTGGTTTAAGTTTTTTAAACATTTGCTTATATTTATTTATAAAATAATGAAAATTAAAAGCTTTAGATTAAGCTTCTTATTAAAAATAATAATCACCTGCTTTAAATATACATAAATCACTATTTTATTAGAAAACAAATTAAAAATATTATAATTTAATATTTCTAATTATATATTTACTCTAAAATAATAAGTCCCATTTAAAATAAATTATTATTTTGTTTCATTTAAAGAATAGTATCATGGAACTAAACATCATTTTATCTTAATATTTTTATAAATAAAAAAAATTAAATATTTAAAATAAATTTCTTTATTTTTAAACTATAATATAATTTCGGCATAAGTAAGTTCTTTTTCTTAAATAATTTTAGAAATTGATTTTTGTTCATATTAATTTAATGAATACTCACTAAATTAAAAATATTTTATTAAATAAATAAAAATATAAATAAATTTTACGGGGCATAGATGTAGAATTATTTTACTTAATTTTGTGAACTTAATAAATTAAAATAATTTTTTTAATATTCTAAATCTTCAATTAAATGAGGATAATATTTATTATTTATATTATCAAAAAATTCTATTAATTACTATTATTAAGGTTAAATATCATGAATTATTATTATTGATTCTCTAAAATAATAAAATTTAAATTATTTTAAAATATCAATTATATAATTAATTTTTACGATTATATAAATAACTATTAGAATCTATTTTTATGTTATTCATATATATTTTTAATTTCCTGTTCTTAAAATATGTAATTTCCACTTTTTTATTTTATTTTAATATTTTTTATTCGACTTAAAGTATTTTTTTTTTTTAAAAAAAATACTCTAAATATAATTAACAGATGATACAATTTTCCAAATTATTAAAAATTTGTAAGAGAATTTATTAAATTTCCTCATTTTTAAATTAATAATATCTTTTTTTTTTTTTTTTAAATAAAATAAAATATTAAATATAGGAAAAAAAAAAAAAAATACTCTAAATTCAGATAAAGATTATTAATTCTTTAAAATTTTGACGAAATGAAATAAACATAATTAAAAATATTCGTATTTTTAACTGGTTCAACATTAAAACTTAAGCTTTTAACACTTTCAGCAGCCTTAGTATTAATTTTTTAAATTCTTTATAAAACTTAAAAAGATTTAATAGTTATGTTTTAAGTCATTTAAAATTTACTATGACTATTTTAAATATAAGAATTATATTTTTATACAAAAAATTGAAAACTATTAACAAAAACAATAATTTATTAATTGAATAAAATAAACTTTAAAATCACAGCAAAATTAGAAACTAATCTAAAAACAAAAATAACAAAATAAATTATAGTAAACCAACTCATTATCCAATTATCAGTAAAAATATTATTACAAACTTATATTATAAATAAAGGAAATGATTTAAATAAAATATCTAATAATTCATTAATTTAAAACAATAAAAGAAAATATTTCTATTCAAATATCATTTATATATTTATACTACTATTAAATTCTATTTACATTAATGTTTCAAATTCATTTTGTTTCGAATTATTTGAATTTTAAATTTCTATAAATTTAGTTTCATTATTATATAACACATTATGATTGGAATATTAATCAGTTAAATTTGTCAAAAAATTTTAATTTTAGGATAATTTTAAAATTTAATCATCTGTTTTTATTGATTGTACCAATTGATTTTATTCTTCGAAATTCTTTCTTAGAATTTTTTTGTAATTACTAGCATTAGAATAAGTACTTCTCCTTTTCATAGCTTCTTATTATTTTTAAATGCAAAAATTTTGTTTTTATTCATTATTATTCTTTTCTTAATCAATAATTTCTATTAATTAACTTTTTTTTTAAAAAAAATAAATAAATAAATATATTTTATATATTATATTTATTATATAAATATACTCAGTTAATATAGAATGATATTTATAATAAATTCCAAAATAAACAAAAATAGGAATTAAATTAAAAAATCCAAATATAGATAATAGTAAAGATTTTGTTAAATTCTTTTGCCATTTTATTAATTAAAATAATTCTTTTAAACTAACCACCTGTTATTTCTTTTACAATATATCTATATATCTTAATAATGCGTTACTTAATATAAATATTATTAATGGAAATATTACAATTATTATAATTATAAATGTCTTTATATTCTTTTCTTTGAATTATGATAAAACTAAGTATATTATATCAAATGATATTTATAAAATTGATAGTATATAACTTATTAATATTCGTTTATATTGCATTTTTTTTCTTGAATATATTTTAATTTTTTATTTCTCTTTTTTAAGATTGTTCAATTAATTATTTATTATCATTATTGTCTATTTTATTTAAATAATATTATTATTTAATATAGTAAATATTTATATGAAAAAAACACATTTTTTAATAGATATTTTAGTTTAAATTGATTGAATTTTTTTTAATGTATTTAAAATAAATATTTTAAATCAATTTTTTAAAATACATTTTCATTTAATAAAAATCATAAATAATATAATCAAAAAAACATGAAAATTATTTAATTAAATTTTATTTGAATGTATTTTATTTATTTAATTTGAAAATATTATTATTTTGAATATATTTTTTAACTATTTTTATAAAATAACAAGAATTTTA